CAAAAGTGCACTGGGTCCGATCGTTTTGGACATTAATAATTATGTTGTACAGTATTGTTCCCGGTTTTGATCCCCGAGGGATGACAGGAGCAAATGACCACCAGTTGGACATTATGCCACCCTTCAAGCCCAAAGGCCCAGCCAATTTTCCACTAATCATCCGCACTTCACAAATCTGGCTATAAGGGAACTACGGGAGGTCATATCAAAGGCCTTACTGAAGACAAGGCAAGAGGATAAGAAGGCATATTAGAGGAATCAAGGTGGTGATTCCAAAACACTCGTAAGTGGAAACAGGAGATGAGAAAGGTGTCAGGAAGCTGTTCCTGTGAGAAGACACAACCTGTAGCACTGTGCTTCCCCCACCCCAGAAGCCTTTGCTGCCAGCTCTGTCTTTTGTGCTTTTTGCAGTTTCAAACTGTGAGGACTGTTTGGAGGAAAAATTTCACTGATTTCGGGAGTACAAATACACTAAGAGCTCTAGGAGGGTGAAAAACATGAATGGGGAAAAGACACGAGTGCCATGCAAGAACCCTCTGAGGCCTTGGGGAAGAGACAGGACAGAAGCAACCCCAAGAAAAGCCCAATGGGTGGAGTAGGAGCCAGAATCAGATCAATTGGATTTCTTCTTGGGTACAGCATGGACCTATTGAGGCACCAAAAACGGGTAACGTAGGCAGAAAATATGGAGGTCATGACTCGGTGTGACACCCACCCTCACAGCTGCTCGTCTTCCGACAGCATGGATTCAAGCACATGCACTGAGAAAATTGTCAGGGTTCCTCCTCCTTGTCAGAATAACCCCTTGATTTTGTTGCAAAGCAGCTGCATTTGGTTTTAAAACTCTTGCTTGCATTACCCAAATTTACTTCTACGTGCTGATTTTAAAGGGACTCAGTCTACTAAAAACAAATGAGAGTTGCAAAATTAGTCCCTTTGCTGTTCTTCCTCACATCTTGACTTCTATTTCTGTTCCTGCCACTCACCAGCAATCTGCCAGCAGGTGAATCACTTCACAGTGTTTCTGCTTCCCTTCAAATTTCTCATCTATTTCGATAATAAATTTGCAGAGTAATAGCTGTCTTTAGATACAAAGTGGGTCTGGGCTCAACAAGTGCCTCTACCTGCTGCTGTACAATATTACTGCTAATTGTCATCTTGGGCTTCAGCATACGTATGGTCACATGCTTCTGAGATGATCTCAGCTTCTCTCATTACAACATCCACTTTGGGTTTTGTATTTTAAACTAGTCTGCATTGGAACAAAGAAATCCATGTGTCTGAAAAATGATGCCAATGCTAACTCCTGCAGTACCTACAGACATAGGATGCTGTGTCTAAGGCTTCAGGCTCACACAGAAGAGATGTAATTAACACACTGCTGTTGAATGCAGGGGGTGTGAGTGTACCTAATTATACCTATGTGTAACACTTCAAATCTGCATCATGTCCAAAGTATACTGATGAATACATGTTCATCTGAGGGCATCAGCTTAATTACCTCTCTAATTATTCAAGGAGAAGTATGCAGAAAGTTTCCTTTGGATTGGTTATATCACAGTAATTGATTGTTACTCCGGTGATGCCACGACACGTAATCAAATAATCAGCAAGACGGAGTGAGCACAGAAAACAAAAAGGTCACAGGGACAAGCTGGCAGGCGGCACTGAACAGAAACCAGAACTACTCACCCAAAGACATGCCTGGTGGTCAAATTAGCCTCTCAACTCAGGTGTGTGCACAGGAGTATAGGTGTATGAAAGACCCTGCGGCATAAATAGCAGCAGCAGAGCACCGGGATCTGCAGTGCTTTCCTTGAAACAAGTGTCTACGTTCATGCCCGAGTCACCTATAGCTCTTGGTGAGGGAAGGCAGGGAGACTTGAGAGTGTTTCAGAGAAAGAAAAGAGGAAAAAACAAGTATTTATGTGCCTCTGTCACCATGGTCTTTAACAATACAGGAAGATTATCAAGCAGAAGGTTCAACAGGTGACTTGACTGTCATCTGTGAGAACCTCGGTGGCCCTGGATGCAAAAAGTAGGCAGAGTAGTAGCAGGATACTCTCAGAGCAGTAAGGATTTCCAAGCATACAGTAACAGTACATGGGTATTTTTTCACATCTGCTGAGCACACTTCCTCAAGCACAATCTGCCAACGATCATCACATGTGACAAACGCTCGTTACAGCATGCAGGAGCCCTGCTGTGCATCAGCATGCGGTGGCAATCAATCAGGGCCAGCGGGGAGCCAAGGTGCTCCCTGCAGCACAGCGGCTTCCCAGCCGCCGTGCATGCACCGTGTCAATCCATCGAGGTGAATGGCAAGCCACCGCACACAGATGGTTCACAAACCCTCGCAAACCCCATCTGGCTGCTGGGACAGCTGATGTCCCTGAGCAACCCGAGCTCGAGTGCACATCCATGGCAGGGAAAAACCTTCCCAACTTTGCTTACAAGTCAATCAACCAAAGGGAGCCTGACAAATCATGCAACAGTCCACGTGTTGCGCAATAAAAGCCTGAACCCAGTGTGCCAAAACATGACTGGAACAAAATGGAAACCCACAGCTGCTGTAAGCCTCAACTATTCTCCTTAGTCATCTCTCTCACCAGTAACAGCCAAGCTCAGCAAAATCTTCTCACACCAGTTATGCTTACAGACCCAAGAAATGCAGAATAGCCAAATTGCCGGCAATTTTACATTGCAATCACATAATTTGCAGCTGAACTTAAATTCACTTGTAGCCATGTTAACTACAATAAATATCGTGCGTGTTTGCCACCTTACAGACACTTCTGTTTGTCTCTCCTTTGTTCCCATCATACAGGCATCTCCATTACATGCCTCCAGCTTTAAATTAAACACAGATGGACAGACTAGGACTACTCTATACCAAAACAGAGTATCAAGTTCAGGTTCTGATTTTCATTACCTTGGATTTATCCTGGATTACTCTAGATTTACAATTCATATAACTTCTATGAAGTTACACCAGACGAAGTTCTACCAAAGAGCTATATCGGATGAAGTCATACCAAATGAGAAAAGTTTTGTCCCAGAATTGTCAACACATCAGTCATCATCTTTAATGATATGTTGCAGTAATTACTCTACATATTTAATCTTGCCCTTGACAATGGTTGCCACCAAGTTCTTAATGAGAAAGTGTGAATATTTATAATTTTTCAGGCTTGTTTACTTTGGAAATTACTCCGGAAGAACAATTCCTGTTAAGGTAGCAGGACACCGTTCTCCCAAAATAGACATGACAGTTGTAACGTGGGAATAATTAATTCCTTTTGCACAATTAGATCATGTTCACCTGTCCTCAGTTCAGAATCATTATGCTATTTGATGTTCCCCCATTACGGTAACATAAGCAAACTTCTGTTGCAGATGAGGTCCAACATGGACAAAGACCGTTCTGGCTCCAACAGAAAAATTATTGCGCTGACAAATGGGAGCAGTAACAACTCTCATCCTCTGTTCTCATAGATGAAGGTGGATGAGTTACTACTGGTGTTGAGAGGAAAGTTGCTGCCAACTATCAGGCACACCTCTCCTTGCCAGACAGGCTTTCATGCCTCTTCTGGTATGAAATCAGAGCAACTAATGAGGGACAAACCTCACATTAAGATTTTTTTTTTTTTTTTCCCCTGGCAAAATTAACCAGAGAGTAACTTAAGGGCTTCCAAATCATTTTGCCAGATACCTTTGGAGCTGACTGTAATCCCCTGCTGCCAGTGGCAGCTTTAAAGCTGAGCAGTGAATTTGCTTTGCAGTGGGTTGTGTACAGTAATGGTACATACCACAGTTTTGAAGTCCCTGCTGTCAAATCAGAAATTCAGAAAAAGCTGAAGGCAACTCCTTGGAATAAAGCCGTGAGGACAGAAATAATGTGAAATGTGTGAGTGCAAATAAAATTCATAGTTCATCTTAGATGCACTCAGCATGTCAATGCCTCAACTGTTTTGCTCATTTGCTACCTGTTTTCAGTGCCCTGAGGCATACGCTATTAAGGCACTATTAAGACCCGAAGTCTTCAAATGTTAAACATTTGCTGAAGAACGGTTCTCCAGAAAACACTTCTCTGAAATTTCTAATTACTTAAACATCTGAGCTAAGGACTTTGCTCTCTAGCATCAGGTTTATAAACCATTTCAGACACATCCTCTGTCGATCCTGGACACAGAGTCTTTAGGAGAGTTACAATCTATAATTTCCATCCTCCTGGAAACTAGCATTCCCAATTGCACGTCTTGCCATCAACCACTGGCATTAGGCTCTCAAGATACAGTGATACAGCCACGAAGAGAGGGAGATATACAGCTGACCATTTGCTCAGCCAGGAACAAGTCCAAAGAAAAGAGCAAATGCACAAGAAATGCCACAACATGGAGCCAGCTTGGTCAGAGACTACAGATAAACACCTAGTTCTCCTCCTGCAAAGCATTTCAACACAACTGCTTCAATATTTTCATTTGAACCAATTACATCTGAAAGAAACCACTTTTGTTTAAATCAATGTAAGACTATATCAAATCAATCATATAAAACCAATCGTTTAAATCAACGTAAGACCATAAAAAGGTTGATTTTTTTCCTAAAATATTTTGTTGACCAAAAATAATTAGCTTTCAACAAAGCATTGAGAGAAGTATTTGAGAGTGCTTGGAGGACTTGTAAAGGATTGATTTTACTCTATGCCCAGCCTTGACTGAGATGCCCCTTCCTCTTACTGGGGGAAACACAAATCCTGATACAAAATCCAAAGAGCGATAAACATTGAGAGCAATAAATCAAAACTCTTCTTCAAATCCTAACTTTGGTGAGGAAAAAAACCAACACCTGAAAATGGCTCCTACAACGTGCTCCTGAATAGCTCCTACCGCTGCGTGGCTGCATACAGTCACGCACTTTTTAAGCAAAAGAACAACGCTGCAACACAAAAACCCATGGGTACATCTAATGACCAGAGAAGGCTGCTGCTGGAGGCCCACCTGTTTTATTAGAGAGTCGGAAGGACACCATCTTGTCAGGGATGCTGCAGACATTCCTCACCGAGGCAATGCAGCTGTAATTCGCGTAATCCTGAGGTCGGAGGTTCTTCAGCTTCAGGATCTTTGTTTCTCCCTGCACGTGCAAGAGAAAGCATTAGAAAGGGATTGAGGCAGAAGAACAAGCACGGGTGCAAGAAACACTGAGACTGGCTTCCAGGAGGCAAGAGGAAGATGCAGAGGTGGCTAATTAGAAGCAGATGTTGAAGTGGTCCAGAAAACATATTTTATTTAAAAAAAACCCCCCCCTGCCATAACCTAAAACTGTAGCCCCACTTATATATTAAAGGCAAAAGAAGAGAGCAGCGAGGGGGAAATTGCTTTGACAGAGTCTTTCAAGTTGCAGCATTATTCACGATAATATATCTTAAGGTACAATCTACGTGATGAAAAAAATCACAAGCCACAGAAATCCTGCTGTTTTCCTTTGAAAATGAGCTGCTGATGGATTTTATTTTTAGCCAGCAGTGTAAATGATGGAGCAGGGACCTGAACGGGATATGTAATGAAGGAGTTCCTTCAGACACAATCAAGAGAAAACTGGGAAATACGAGATTTCCGCTGCAGTACTATGTCAAATGGGCACCGCAGAACCAGAAACTCGGGAGAAAAAGCAAGTTGCTGAAATATGTATGTAAAATCCTACAGCATTGTTGGCAACAAGAGTAACAAAAAGCTGAAAGGAGTGTTAGATACAAAATCTGGAGCACGCAGAGATGCCATGGGACAGAGCAGGGAGGAAGAAAGCACAGGGAGCACAGCAAAGCACATCAGGGTGTCAGCCGTGAGGATGCAACCGCGTGGAGGGCTGCGAAAACATCAGATAAATCTATATGTATCAATACCTGCACGTTATTTACTCTAGCATTAAAATAACAAACTTCCTCGGGCTTTCAATCCCCTCCCCTCCAGCTGCTCACTTTTGAGTCTTTGCCTGCATTTATAGTGATAAGCTAAAAATGTATTATGCTTAGACAAGGCTAAGGCAGAACCCCAGCCCAGGGAGGCAGACACCCGGAATGGGCTCACAAGGCTTCAAAAGAGCAAACTTTGAAAAATGTTCATTATCACATGTCCTGTTAAAGCTGAACAACTTTTAATATTACCACAGCTTGAGCAACATATTTCTTTTCAACAATATCATGAGCAACAACTGCCCAGGCCAATATAAGCAAAAATAGGGTAGTTTGTGAAAATGCAAGTACACAACTAGCAAAAAACCAATAAAACAGAAGATACAGCTAGCCAGACAAGAAACGAAACAGTCGTTGAAATCAAGCTTGGTAGATGTTTGTAGTACTGGAACTGAAGTGCTTTGTATATGTAATCAGCCCCACAGAAATTACGTGATTAAAATTAAGCATGTGCTGATTTAGTGTTTGCAAGGCCAAGCCTTTGAAAGGCTGCTCCTAAACACAAAGATCGTACTTTAAGAGGAGGTTTATCTGGACTAGAGAAGGGCCCAATCCAGGTCAGTAGGAAGACAGCTACCAAAGTCATTGAGTTCTGGAAACACAGAGCAGGTATATCCCATCAATTCAGTCCTTAGCTCTGGACTCCAAGTTGAACTTGTGGGCTGAACTCACAATGGTATCTGGATCATGTCCCCAGCTTGCAGAGATTTATAAAAATGTATATATTTTCTTCATTGGTTTGGATAATTAGTCTAATTATGTCTAATTGCATAATTATTGTAAATACAGCAAATTTAATCTTGTATGCAGGCTGTGCAATTACAATGTGCAATGAGGATGATGCAAAACTCTTGGGAAAAAATTCTGCATCAAGATTTTGGTTTTGAAAAGTTCAGTATTTCAGATACTCCCACAGATGAGAATGTGCATGTTTGTTCAATTTTTTTTCCCCATGGCAGCTAAAACAAGTAGCTGACATTACCTGACTCATCAAAAAAAAAAAAAATTGTTCAAAGTTCAAGAATTCATTTGCATATGCCCAGTTTTCCAGGTGCCTTCTATGATTTAATAAAACAAGAAAACCACCAGAAAGAAAAACTAGCCTTTTTGGGGTACAATACAGTAGAAAATTTAATTGTGTTACTACTTGTTTTCCTTTACATTTCTTTAATTTTCAGACTGATAATCCACCTTCAAAGCAATCACCAAAAAAATGCCACCTCAAATTCATATCTCTTGATGCTCTGAAGTCAAATCCCTCTTCACATCAGCTCTTAATGTTTGTTACCGTATCACAAGCTGAACCAATTATGCAGAGATGTTCAGTAGATATTTATGACTCTTGAACCTTTAATTACATTTTTCCTCTTATAAACATGTATCAGATCTTGTAGGCACACTGACAAGATACACTAATTCAACCTGACCTCCAATAAATGTAAAAAGGTTATGGATAAGCTTTTGACTATCAAGATGACAATCTGATTTATTCATTAATTCAGCCCAGAGAGAGGTTCTAGGAAGAATGCTCCTAGTAACCTAGACTTTTTTCTTCTTTTTTTTTTTTTTTTAAATATTGAATCTAATTTCATGTGACACATTTTATTAGATATGATCTTATTAGATGATAGGGAAGGTAATCATCAGCATTTCCATATTGAAATACAAAACAAAAAGTCCCATGTCCAGGGAGTCTCTTACTTTTTAATTAAAACATTAAAAAACTCCAATTTACCCACTTGAGTCCAAGGAAACAAGCCTCAGATTTGCTAAACTGGGTCCGTACATGTTAAATTAAAAATAATCTCATCACATTTAGGAAACCAATAACCTGACCATGTAATCTAATTCTCATCTCTGCGAGGTTCCAGGCTACATGTTTCTCGGTAAAATACCAAGCCACTGTAGCAATATAAAGCTGTCAAGTACAATAAAAAGAAAAAATGAAGGTGCTCTCAAATCATTAGCTGAAAATTATTTATGAAAGTTGCAGGTTGCTTTCTGCTATGAGGACCAAATTACCAGGCAGTTTTCACCTCTGTCTTTACTCGTTATTGCTTGAGACTTTCCAAAACTATTTTTCCTCCTTTTTTCTTTTTTTTTTTTCTTTTTGCAAACACCGTCACACACTTTTGTCCATAGACAACAGGATATACCACCTTTTTATCCTGAGACTGCGCAAATGTGCTAACAATAAATTAATCTGATCTAATCTGACAGACTCTTTTGATGGCCCAGTCTGCCTGTAGGAAGACTTAAAGCATTTCTTTCCATTTTTGCTACCTCATCTTTTAAGTGTGTAATTCTGGAACAACAACATATTCAAAGAAGTGAAAGGCGGAATAAAATGAAAAAAAAAAAAAACAAACCAACACAGGGAGTTGCCATAGAGTTTAGCCTTCTTGAAAAGCTTTTTAGGCTGTAACTTCTGTGCAGAATCACTTTGCATTGTATTGGAAAAGATTAGGGAATAGCAGTCAAATCAGAGGTTTGGGCTTGCAGCGCCCAAGCAAAATGACTTCAAAAGAGCTCCTGCAGACAGCACTCACTGTGCCTCTTCTCATAATTTCCTATTTCATAATTTTACAAAAAATTAAAAGACAAATTTTATATTAGGAAGTGTTATAATAACATATGGGTGCATTTGTGCTGGGGTGTAGTTATCTGGAGGCCATGCCCACTTACCCACACCACAAACCCAGCAGGGATATGCAGGCAGATCCAGTTAGAAAGAATCTGGTGCAAGTAGCCTAAGGAAGGAAAAAATACTGTACTTTCATTCCTACCTGGGTAAAGAAGGGCTCATAGATCTCTACTCCTTTATCAGACCCTTGCAGCAATACCTCTTGGCCGCGTCGCCAGCTGTAGCGAACAGGCGGATTGGAGTTGGCAACGCACCTGAGAAACACCGTTCTCTCATAGTAAAATTGCTCTTTTGCTTCCCCGATGCTCTGGTGGACTGTTACTATTGGATCATCCAAATCTGGGAAGACAGGGGGAAAAAAAAAAAAAACCATGAGACAAAGTCAGTCTTCAGTTGACCCTACGATGGTTCTGCGATGGGAAGTGTGTGCATCACCTGGCGTACAAGTCAACAGCAAAATAGAGGCAATACAGCTCTAAAAGCCACAAACGTACATTTTAGGACTTTTGCAGCAGAATCTAGTTTTAGAGTTTGTTTTCATCTGTACAGCACCTAGCACAACTGGATCTTCATTTACAACTCAGGCTTTTAGATATAACAATATACACAAGATCATGCATGACAATGTCAATCGTATTTCTGTTGTTTCCACTAACACTTAGGTTTCATCTGTACTGCTTTAGTACTTGTTTCTTATGTATGATTTTAATTTAAATGTCGCTTAGACAAAATAGTTTATAAAGCTTTGGAAATAAACAGACAGACTAATTTGCATCCTAATGGTAGGATCCACTAGAACATAGATCATGTGCATGCATCTGTTTCCCTTTAAAGCAACAATTTAATACAGTAATTTAATGCATATTCCCTTCTTTCAGTTACATGCATTTAACTTTAAGCAGGTAAACCCATCACAGGCTTCAGAACACACTTCTCTTGATTAAAATACAGATATCATGTAATTACTCCCACCGCATCAGTTCAAAGAAAATTAGATCCCCAAACAGAATTCACTCATCTTAAATAGGGAAGAAGTAACAATAGTCCTTGGAATGCGAGTACACCTAATTAATTAATTTGGGCTTCATACCATCAGGAACAAGTAGATTCCTGTTTGCAAGTTTTTCCTATTGTTTATTATGAGTTTTCTCTGAAGGTACAATTATATCAAAGAAGGAAAAAAAATGAAACAAAACAAGAAAAGCAATAGCTATTTTTACTAAGTACTAGTTAAAACCCACTCAACCTCCAAATGACATGGTAAGCAATTCTCTGGTGAGCTTTAGGAAGATGTTACACTACCTGGAGGGCTGGCAGCCAAGGGAAGTTGCTTCTCTAAGCCTAGCCCCTATGTTTCAAAGGTACATCCAGGTTTGGCTCCAACATGCACAGTACAGGCACTGATGCTGTTACCCACCGAGAGCAGGAACAACTTGCCTAATTATACCTGTACCAATCTGATCTGCACACCCTCAGCAACAGCATGTTCCCATGTGCAACTCAGCCTTGACTGAAATAATTTCAGAACCTGACCAGCAGTGCTTCTTCCTTAAAACAAAATATAAATAATGTTTTAAGTAGTGCTTAATTAATTATTCATCCAAATATTTAACCCTATTTTTGTAGTGTCTTGTGTAACTATCCAAATGTCAATTAATCAGATTTATTTGAGGCCACAATTCAGTGAAATGCAGATCGAGATGCTCAAATCTTAGCATGACCACCAATGTCAAAGGGAACGTGATCATGCTCCCCTTTTGAGTCCCTTTTCAACGGCGTTGAAAACAAGGACAGCTGTTTCGGGGGAAGCGTCACATCCACTTTGCTCCCATGTCCTTTCCCCAAATGCCAGTCAAACACCACTGTAACCACCGCAGTATATTGTGTGAGGTGGACCATCAGCATAGCAGTTCTTAAAAAATTGGGGGTTTTGATAGTTTTTAAAAATTAGAGGTGTGGCAGAGGCACATGGGATTACTAAAGGAAGCCCATCATTAACTATCTAAATAGATCAGCATGCTTCAAACGTCCACACTGAAAAGCAGTTTGCACTTAAAAATTATTCTTTAGATGCTTACATTTTGATTTGCATAACAAGAATAAAGCTTGAGTCTCCTGATTAATTAGAAACAAAACCTGTTCCAAAATTTAGAATAATTCAAGCAATAATATCTTGTAATAGTGCATGGATTTTAAGTAAATGTTACCTTCGTTGTACTCTACAAAACATTTAATTTAATATCACAGAAACAAATTATGAAACTGTTGCTCCAAATTAGGATGGCATTTTCTAACAAGATTTCATTTTTGTTTTAAAGGTTATTTTAAATCACAGTAGCATTTGAAAAGGGATGAGATTGCTGAAACGTCGTATCTTCTACTCACGCAATGAAAATAAAATGAAGGAAATTAGTAGCTTGCTTCAATTTCTAGGCCAAAACACTTGTTCCCTATATTTTGATGAACAACAGAACATTTCACACATGAATGCTTTCCAGGGTTTGGTTATTAAAGCACATCCTTAGACCACAAACAAGGATGACTGGCAGTCAAGCTCCTCCAACACTGAGCCAGGGGACCACTCCTTGAATCTCTCACCCTCAGATGAAGGTGCATCCTCTTAGGTGAAATACACAAGAAGTCCAAGTCTTGACCCACCTTCATTTTGTTGAAGTTACTCAAGACCAGACACACTAAATCACCTGAAGCCTAAAAATGGGACTTAAGGCAATTGTGAAGCCTGCCACTGTATGGTGGCAATCAATACCCCGACACAAGGCACGCTGAGGCTGACTGGCCAGGACACAGCTTTGCAGAGGAGGCCCTGGAGGTCCTGGTGGCTGAACATGAGGTGGCTGACCACATCCCAGGCTGCAACAGCAAGAGTGCAACCAGCAGGTCCAGGGAAACGATCCTTCCCCTCTACCCTGCAGCTGTGAGACAACATCCCAAACACCCTGTCCAGGTCAAGACATGGACATACTGGAACAAATACAGAGGAGGCCACCAAGATGATCGGGGGGCCGGAGCAGGTGCCATACAAGCAGAGGCTGGGAGAGCTGGGTTTGGCTAGCCTGGAGAAGATAAGATGAAGAGGAGATCTAATTTCGATCTTTGACTGACTACCAGAAAGTTATAGAGAGGATGAAGGCAACTCTTCTTCGAGGTGCAGAGCAAAAGACCATGAGCCAATAGGTATAAGTTGCACCAAGAGAAATTTTTCCTGGTTGTAAGTGAAAACAAATTCCCCATGCAATCAGACAATTGCCCAGAGAGGCTGCAGGATACCATCCTCAGAGACATTCAAAGCTTGACTGGACACAGCCCTGAGCAATCTAACCTACCTGTGCAGTTGGCCCTGATTTGAGCAGGGGGTTGGACAAGAGGTCCTTTCCAACCTAAATTACTCCATGATATCATGAGCTGTGATGCCATTGCTTGTTTGCGCTACCTGCTCTCTTGCAATGGGTCCATGCTGGATGTGTGTTCACCCCCTCCGACACCCGTACTCCTCTACAACACAGAGAAGCAGGCACCCTTCTTCCTGCATGGCGCTGTACTATGACAGGGGATGGATTTTGATAAGAGTATAAGGAAGCCTCAAAGAAATTTAAGTTGGGAACGCAAATGCAGCAAGCCCTCTGCCAAAGCATTTCATAATGGTCAATTAATAGAAAATTTGCACTGCAGAACTTGACTGATTTTTCCATCGGCAGTGCTGGAAAGATCTCAACAGCTGTATCAAAGCAAAAGCAGCAGCACTAATAGGAGACAAAATAATGCTTGCAATTGTTGTGAGATTTCAGTGAACACTCAACTGCCTGCCCCGCTGTTGGGGAGGGTTAGACAAATGTTTCACTGGATTGTTATGTAAGACTGTATTTTGCTCAGGCAGTGTGAGAGCTGCAAACAGAAGAAAAAATATGCTTTTTTTATAATACTGCCAAGGTATTCTGCAGAGTTATTACAATGGAGGTATGCAACTGCCAAATTGCCTATAGGCGGGCTATTTCAAAGTCACCTGATCTCGATGGTATTTAATGCCCACTTGTCAAAGCTCTCCAGAACTCCAGTTTCAATGTCTAATTGAATTGTTACTAATTGATATTCAAATTCCCAAATAGGCTTAAAAAAAAAAAAACCCAACTACTATTTAAAGCTCTGTGCATATGTGTGAGATTCTGTGGGTGTTAGTTCCCTAAAAGCACTGGAACAGTCAGGGACTCGGCAGTCTGGGAGGGATGCTATGGACTTCAGGTATTGCACAGCAATTAACCTGGGAAGCAGAAAGAGGGGAAATCACTGGAGAGACAGGGAGATCTTACTGCAAATAGAGAAAGATTTAGCATTGGGAAGCTCAACAAGGTGAATTTTTGCAGTGCTCTACAAGAGGAAAAAAAACCCCAAAATCTTCATTTTGGATTGATCAAATTATGAAGAGTTAACTGACTAATCATTCTTTAAATTAAATCATGGGTGTTGCTATGTAGTTAAAGCCTATTAATCAAAATGAAAATAATTACAGAAGTATGTTTTCCACAGAGGTTTATGCCACCATTAGGTTCAATTTTTCAGTCCTTAATCTTTGAATTGAACCAAACAGTTTCCAAAACCCAGATGGTGCAGGCATGCTAAACACTGTATTGGAAGAATTCCCTTCACACTGCCCTAAGCACTCAAACAAATGGAAAACCCAGTATAAGCTCTTCAAAATGGGTCTAATCTACATGTACTGTGACTTGCATCATGACAGTCGGAGATGTTGGTGTGGAAGGTGCACAGAAGTGTGGCAGATGCTATTAATATCCTCTCTATACTGAATTGCAAAGCACTGGAGGCATCGCACTGCCTGGGAGTAGGAAACGCAGACCATCTCCTGCAACCCTGACCTGAGCTCCAGGGGAGTTTCACACATACAAACACAAGAGCAGGATCACAGACTATATTTGCTATATCATCTTTTTTCAGCTGCTGGGACTACACAGCTTGCTGATTTCATTTGTTAATTAGCTGCCTTTGTCTTCAGATGTTCAAAGCAAGCAATGCTTGGAAGCCAGGATAATAATAAAACACACATCTGGTAAACTGATTGAAACTGCTTCATCAAGACACCCAGAGAGGAGACAGCAGTGACGCATATATTTAGCCTGTCTAACTCGTAAGTTATTCTTAAATATAAAAGTACAATGTTTTTCATGCTATTTTCCTTACTCTAGCCGCCTTGACCTAGCACAAGCTATCAATAATTATGCAGGTTTGAAGTGCTTTGTGGTACTGTATAATATAAAGCAGTTACACATGATTCAGAAAATGCACAAAAATTCAACAAATATCTATTT